TCTTTTTGATCTTGACTTTGTATCCTTGACGTTTCTAAATTCACTTGCCAATATTGGCAATTTGGGGTAGAATTCATAGAGTTTTTCATATGCACAATTATGTCTTCTGCAAATAATAAGTTTTCCTTTTCCTATCTTTATGCATTTCATTCCTTTTTCTTGCTATTATACTAGCTAGGATTTTCTTTTTTAAAGATTTATTTATTTATTTTGAGAGAGTGAGAATGAGAGAGAGAGAGAGAGAGTACATGAGAGGGGGGAGGGTCAGAGGGAGAAGCTGACTCCCTGCTCAGCAGGGAGCCCGATGCGGGACTCGATCCCGGGACTCCAGCACCATGACCTGAGCCGAAGGCTGTTGCCTAACCAACTGAGCCACCCAGGCGCCCTATACTAGCTAGGATTTTAAGTGCAATGTTGAATGGAAGGGTAAGAGCAGACATGCTTGCCTGTTCCCTTATCTTAGGAATAAAGGATCTAATAATTCACCATTAAGTATGATATTAGCTGTAGGTTTTTTGTAGATGTTCTGTATCAAGTTAATGAAGTTTCCTTCTATTCCTAGTTTTCTAAGAGATTCCTATTTTGAACCCCACCCCCAGCTTTAACAACAGTACTGAGCCCTCTTACTGTTTCCTTCTGCCACAATCAGTATGACCCAAATGCACAGTGACTTCCCTTATTCTCAGGAACCAGCTCCATGCCTAAAGTTTCCTATACATTTCCCTCCTACTAGGCCCAGTGAAACAGATGAAAGATGGCAGCAGGGGCCTTGTCTCAAGGAGCTCGGGGTTTGATAGGAGAGAGAAGATACATGCAGGTAATAATTCTCAAGTCTGTGTAAGAAGGGCCATAAATGATGCCATAAACTCTCTGGAGGCCCCAGGTAGGAGGGAGAGAATGTCCAGTGGTGGTGAAGTTGAGGGAAAGCTTTAAGAAAGGGATGGAGTTGAATTTGTCTTGAATGGTAACTAGTATTTGGACAGGCAGAGTAGAGGGGAAGAAAAAGCTGGGAAGATGGAACATGATGGATCGCTCCGCGGTAGAGCCCTCTTTGGGCACAATTAAGGGTCCAGCCCTCAAGAAACTCTGGATCTTCTCCCCTGAGGAATAACCCTGTGGTTGGTAGAGGAATTAAGTCCAGAGACACTGCAGAGCAAGCCTGAAGAGGAGCAGCATGTGCACACACTTCTCTCCTCCACGCCCAGCTCTTCTGAGCTATGACAAGACCAGCTGTCCATAACTGAAACATCTAGTCTCATTCAAGACTTTTGCACTGGCCAGGGAGCCGGGACCGGAACAGAGGGGCTGGTGACTGGCCAGGGAGTTGGCCTGACCTGAGACCACTGGCCAACAAGGGAGCTCCTTAGTCCTGCTCCCAGGCAATCCCAGGTGCCTCTCTTCCTGAGAAGCCAATGGTTGGCCCAGAGCTCTTCTCCTCTCCTCTTCTCAGAGGAAGGATCCTGGGAGAGTATTTGGGGAGGCCTGGGTGTGGAAGGAGGCTGGGAGAATGCATGCCCTGTCTGGTTCTGAGCTAACTCTGATGGCAAGGCACCACAGGCCCAGAAAGACGGGGAGCATGACAGACAGGTCAGTGAGGTCAGAGCATCTCAGGGACCGGGGTTTCTGGGAAGGGACCTAGACTTGAGGGCTCAGCTCCTGGCTGCTGTGACCAGAAAGAAGTGCCTTAACCGCTCCGTATCTCACTTTCCTCATCTTTAAAAGGTTAGAACAGACCACCCACCTCCTGGGGTCGCAGTAAGGATGAAATAAAACGATCCTTGTGACTTGGCTTGTAGTAATAATGCGATACCCGTTAGTTATTTGTGCGGCACCTACCAGTCAGTCCTCGCGCCTGCGTCTGTGTGAAAGCACGTGCCTGCGCTTCCTGCCTTTTTCCTTGAAGGCGATTCCCCGTGACAACCTAGCAGCCTGAAGAACCCCCAAACATCCCGCACAGGTCTCAGCTGCCTGGGCAGAGGGATGGGATCCCACACACAACCCCCTCCCCCGCCGCGCGGTGCCTGGCGTCGACTGTCCCCTGCTGGGCGCGCCCAGTGGCAGAACACCGTGCGCGCGTGCAGGTCCACACACGCGCACACGCGCACACACGCACGCGCGCGCGCACACACACACACACACACACACACACGCTCGCGCGTAGGGCTCGGGTTAGCGCGGCGGGGCTGGTAGGCGGAGCGGGGCCATTGTTCTGCAGTAGCTCCCCGCCCGGCTCCGCGCGGGGAGCTGTCCCTCATGCCCCCTGTCAGGCGGGACCCCGCCGGCCCCCTGGGCTCGCGACCCCAGCTCTGAAGCCACGCCTGCCCTCCCACGCGTTCCTGCGAGCGGGAAGGCGGGAGCGAGCCGCGCGCCGAGGTCAGGCCCCGGGGCTTCCCCGCTGTTGCCGCGGAAACTTCCGCGGGGCCAGTCCCGCCGCCGAGTGCGGGGGTCCGGTCCCGGGCGGGTGCCCGCGCCCCCACCGCCCCACCCCCCTACACCAGGCCCCGGCCCTCTCCCGCGAGCGGAGGGAAGGCTCCCGAGCGCCTCCGAGGCCGCGGGATGCCGGGCACAGGCCCAGCGGCGGGTGGAAGCGGAGCCGAGCAGGAGAAAGAGAGGGGAGGGGGAGCGAGTAGCTCGCGGCCGAGGGAACAGCAGATTGCGCCCAGCCAATGGCAAGGGCTGGGGAATCTCCTGTCTGGGCCTCTGTCTCGTGATCTTTGTCCCCAGGTCTCACCTGGCAAGCAGTCAGTGAACTCTCTGGCCCTGGCCCTGGTCCGAAGAACTTTTTCCCCAGGAGTCACCCAGCTTGTCAGTCGCCTGGTCATGCACTCTGCCCAGAGACATTACCTGTTCCTGGCCATGCTACGTGATCTGCAGACATACCCTCGGGACAGAATAACCTGTTAGAAGACCCTTCCCTGGTAAGCAACCTGTACACGTGAGCATGGATGCACAAACACACATACACACACACACACAAACACATACACACTCCTGCTGTCTGGTGCTTCACAGAGAACCTCCAGGAGAAGGGCTGGAGAGGGTCAGCTGGTAACATAGGCAGCTAGCTGGAGAAGCACACTGCCTCTACAACACCAGGGTCATTCAGCCAAGCACCTGTGGCACCTTCTGTCTGGCTTGGAGTCTAGAAGGCACCACCACGGAGGAGCCTACTGAGGGAAGTGTCACTTTACACACTCATCCTTCGGGTTTCTAAACTGATCCACGGACCTTCTCCATGTTCACTCTTTTTTTTTTTTTTAGAGAGAATTTATTTACTTATTTGAAAGAGAAAGAGAAACAAGCATGAGGAAGGTAGAGGGGGGAAGGTCAGAGGGAGAGGGAGAAGTAGGCTCCTCTCAGGAGGAGGGGAGCCTGACACAGGGCTCCATTACAGGGCCCCCAGTTCATGACCTAGCCAAAGACAGATGCTGAACCAACTGAGTCATCCAGGCGCCCCTCCAGTTTCACCCTAAATGACCCCATGGGATTTAGCACCACCATCTCCTCCAGAAAGTCTTCCCTGCTTCTCCCAACCTGGTCTGCTGTGGACCTCTTCTCACTGTGTGCTAAGCTCCATCATCCAGTCATAAGGATCTCCTCCTCTATGGTGATTGCCCAAGGTCAGGAGCTCCTTATGACCTCAGCACTTAGCACCATGCCTACGACCATGTGATGTTCCATAAACGTTCAATGAAGGTAAGAACCAACATAGTCATGGAGGTGTGGGGGCCCCATCTCTTACTTCAGTCAAGCACCTCCAGAAGCCAGTGGTGCCAGGACAGGGTCGAGAAGGGCAGACCAGCCTGGGCCCCTCTCCTCTGGGAAGGAAGAGGGGAGTCCACTCACCCTAGCTCTCTGGGTTGTCTGCTGCCTGTGACTCAGCTTGGGCCAAGGGACAGGGAAGATTCCAAAGCCCAAGAGGGTCCTTCCCCCATCTCTCCACACAGAGAACTGTCTGGGGCAAACGCCGGGCCAGATGCAGGAGCTGGCTTCCCTCCCTTCTCCACATTGACTGTATCGCATGGGAAAGCCTGAGGTCAGAGTTGCAGGGATATTGTGTACAGTGCTAGCCTCTTGCCCTGCTGCCACGATGCCATGGGCAGTGTGGATGGACAAATACAGGGGGCTGGTCGGATCACAACCGGTCTCGGTGTGCTTGTTTATTTGAGCAAGCTGACACTTTAATCTCAGGACCTAGAAGGGCTGAGCCGAAGCAGCTGGGAGAAGGCTCGTGTCCAACACCTATAGGTCATGGGGGAGGAGATGGGCCTGGTCTCTCTGACTCATGGGGTAGGGACTTAGGTCAAGGGAATGTATCACCTTTACTTATATACACCCAGAGTTGACTTAGATCTGTGTTTTAAAGTGTCAGAGTGTGAGGAAAGAGAAGGTAGGAAGGACAGAGCTAGAGGGCGCTGGGCCAGGGGCCAGGGGTGAGTTGCCTGAATGCCTCTGGGGCTCCCAGCCGGTGTTCCTGGGGCCTTCCCTCCCCAGGCTCAGAGCCTTATGGATGTTGCTGGCCTCTCTTTGCAGGGAGCCCGGAAGGGCAAAAGGAAGGGAACGTCAAGTGGGCTGTCCAAGTTGCATGAAGATCTGTGAGCATTCCTCCGCTCAGCCCCCCACCCCCATTTGACATCTGGCTGGGGACGCTCACAGACCCACAAGGTAGGCTTTCCACAAGGACCGGACCCCATCACTGAGCTGCAGCTCCATCTTGCTCTTCCTTTCTGCAACCTAATGCGCCATACATCCATGGATGTGTCCCCGAGCTCCCTCTCCCTGAATGGGTCAAGAAGAGAACAGGGAGGCCAAACTGTCCCCAGGGCTGGGGCCCGTCCATGTCATGAGGCAGCATTCATAAGAATCACAAGATGTCCTGGGATGAAGGTCATTCATGTGCAGAAAGCCATTCACAGGGGCCCTAATCCTGTCCCCAAACACCTGGGAGATTGATTGACCCTGGGGAGGGAAGCACATGATGATCCAAGTCGGCCTGCCCCCATTTCACAGAAGAGAAACTGAGTGACAAAGCATTGAAAGAACAAACGTGGGAGCAGAGTTGGAAGAAAGAAACAGGCCCTGGAATCTTCCTAGTTTCCCTCCTCCCAAGGGGCAGCTTATGACTACAGTGTCACCCCCTTGCCTAACAGTGGCCTAGGGAAAGAAACTAAAACCTACAAAGGGTGTGGTTTTGATGGCCACAATGCCACGCAACATCGGTACCATGATGCCCAAGACTTGGGGTCTTCCACGTGAGTCCAGGAAGCAGGGACCAGCACACAGTGTGTACCCAGACATTTCAGAACCCTTGGCTAGGCCATGTCAGAGTCACCAGAGGGACTGCCTTGACAGACCTGGCAGCTGATTTTGCAGCAAAGAGTGACTCACAGCCATGGAGGTGAGACGGGGAGAAGCAGCAAGGCTGCTTCTTCAAAGCCCAGGGAAGCTCTGGGAGGGGGCACCCCCCCTCCCCAGGCCTGGAAGGCTCCCCTTCAAGGGAGATCATGGCTTCCCAGGGAAGTCTCCCCCCCGCCTCACTGGGCCACTTCCACCGTGAAGCCCAAAGCCACGCTTGGGGCCATGAGGTCATGAAAGGGAGGCGATGCCACTGAGAATTGCCCACCCATTCAGGAGACAGAGCAGTCTCTCTCATCTCCTCTGACAGTGACCTGCCTGGGGTCACGTCCTTCCTTTGTCAGGGAGAGGAATTTTGACAGGACAATCATCTTTGCCCTCTCAGCAGTGCCCTCTCAGAAGAGTCCTCTGACTGCCCACCCTTCCATCAGGCGTCCCTACAAGACAAAGATCAAGTAGATGTAGCAGTGCAATTGGTGGGTGTCGTTCAGCTGCCAGGACTCTGATGGGAAGCCAAAGCAAGTCAGAGTTAGGGCACAGGATTCCTCAGAAAGATCGCTATCCCTGATAGAGGCCAGGAAGTTTGGGAGGTCAGGTGGAGAGACGCGGGCTGCTCTGGTGAGCTCTGCCCTCAAGCTGTCCCCTGCAACTGTGTGCAATCTACAAATCAACATCACCTGATGGAGGTTCTGCCCGTTCTGGGCCAGGCTCTGAGCACATCCGTGAGGGCAAGTCTTGATTACAATATTTGTTCCTCAGAGGGGAGCCAGAAAAGTCATAGGCTAGCAGCAACTCAGCTAGGAAACTTATAAGACCCACACACTGAAGCACCAGGCTTATAGGGCAAGAGGAGAGCAACAGGAAGGAAGGGAGGGAGGGGGGAAGGGAGGAAGGAAGGAAGGAAGGGAGGAAGGAAGGAAGGAAAGAAGGAAGGAAGGAAGGAAGGAAGGAACGGAGGGAGGGAGGGAGGGGGGGAGGGAGGGAGGGAGGGAGGGGGGGAGGGACCTTTGGGTTCCTGTTGAGCAAAGGTGATGCCCAGAATCTGCAAAGTTCCTGCTTTTAGTAGAACTATTACTTGAAATCCCCTTATCCTTTTCCCCCCTGCACCTGAGCTTCTGTGTTTATTTTGTTAATTATCTCTCCCACTGGAATGTAGGCTCCATGAGGGCAAGAACATGGAGCTAACTCACCAGGGATACCAGCTTCCAGAACAGTGCCTGCCTGTTTAGTAGGGGCTCGATAGATATGTATTGTATTTTGAATGAATGGATGAAGCAAGCAACTTCTAGGACTCCCTTTCCTGGCTACATACTCTGGTTCCCAACCCTTCCTAGCCGGGTTGAGGTAAATTCACCATACACTGAAACGTGCACCTCATAGGCGTTCAGTTTGATGATCTTGAACAATTGTATCTATTCAGATAACTGCCACCCAAAGCAGGGTATGGAATGTGTCTATGACCAAAGTCTTCCCTCTGGCCCATTTCCAGATCAAGGCCCCTTATCCTGAGCAACCACATTCTGACTTCTCTCCCTGGAGATTAGTTTTTCCTGCCACCAGATTTCATACAAAGGGAACGAGCCATTATGCCCTTTCAGCGGCTAGCTTCTTTGCTGTGCATGTTTTTGAGACTCATCCATGTTGTTGCATGTCTCTGCTGTCCATTCTCTTCCATTCGGAGTGTCTGTGCTTGATGAATAGCCCATCAGTTGCTTATCTGGTTTCCTATGGGCAAGCTTTGGGGATGTTTCCCCTTTGGGGCAATAAGGAATGAAGCTGCAATGGATTTTCTTGTACAAGTCTTCTTGTGGACGTGGGTTTTCATTTCACTTGAGGAAATTCCTAGGAGTGGAATTAATGATTCTCAGGATAGACGAATGTTCAACATTACAAAAAAGTTGCCAACCTATTTTCCCAAGTGGTTGTGACATCTCATGCTTCCACCAGCAATGGATGAGCGTTTTAGTTCTTTCACGTGCTCACCACCATTTACTGTTCTCAGTCTTTTAAATTCACTCATTCCAGTGAGTATGCAGCGTTACTCACTGTAGCTTTTTTTCAGACATACTCTTATTGAGATATAATTTACATACCCTCCCGTTTACCCACGTAAGTTGTACAACTGGTGGCTTTAACTATAGTCACAATGTGGTGCATCCATCAGCACCATCACTTTCAGAACACTTTCATTACCCCAGGAAGGGTAATGTACTCCTTAGCCTTCAACCCCCTTCTTCAATCTCCCTCCTAACTCCCTCCAAGCCTTAGGCCACCCTTAATCTACTCCATTTTTATAGATTTCCCCATCCCGGACATTTCCTGTAAATGGGATAAGAAAGTGTGTGGTCTTTTGTGATAGGTTTCTCTCACTTAGCATTGTATTTTTGAGGTTCATGTACATTGTGGCTTGTACCAGCACTTCATCATCATTATTATTATTGCTGAATAAGAGTCATTTGTAAAAACATACCACATCTTATTTATCCATTACTCATTCGATGGACATTTGTGTTGTCTCCACTTTTTTTATTATGAATACTGCTGGATGAATATTTGTGTACAAGTTTCTGTGGAGACATATGTTTTCATTTCTCTTGGGTATATACCTGAGTGGAACTGCTGGATCAGATAGTGACTCCAGGTTTAGCCTTTGAGGAGCTGCCAAAATGTTTTCAAGAGTGACTGTACCACCATTGCACTACCGGCTATTTACCCCAAAGATACAAATGTAGTGAGCCGAAGGGGCACCTGCACCCTAACGTTTATAGCAGCAATGGTCCAGAATAGCCAAACTAGGGAAAGAGCCCAGATGTCCATCGACAGATGAATGGCTAAGGATGTGGTGTATAGATATATACAATGGAATATTATGCAGCCACCAAAAATGCAATCCTGCCATTTGCAACGACGTGGATGGAACTAGAGGGTATTGATTATGCTAAGCAAAATAAGTCAATCAGAGAAAGACAATTATCGTGTTATCTCACTCATATGTGGAATTTGAGAAACAAGGCAGAGGATCATAGGGGAAGAGAAGAGAAACTGAACCAAGATGGAACCAGGGAGGGAGACAAACCATAAGAGACTCTTAATCTCAGGAAACAAACTGAGGGTTGCTGGAGTGGAGGAGGGTGGGAGGGATGGGCTGGCTGGGTGATGGACACTGGGGACGGTATGTGCTATGGTGAGTGCTGTGTATTGTGTAAGACTGATGAATCACAAACCTGTACCCTGAAACAAATAATACATAAAAAAGAAGAGTGGCTGTATCATTTCACAATCTTACCAGCAGTGTATGAGGATTCCAGTTTCCCCACATCTTTGCCAACACTTGTACTGTCTTTTTAAAGAAGACACCCTAAGTATAAAGTATCTCATGATGGCTTTGACTTGCATTTCCCTGATGAGGATAATGAGATTGAGCATCTGTTCCTGTGCTTATAGACCATTTGTGAGTCTTCATTGGAGAAGTGTCTATTCAATTTTTACTTGGGTCATTTGTCTTTTTATTATGGAGTTGCAAGAGTTCTTTGTATGTTCTACGCAGAAGTCCCTTACCAGGTATGATAGGCAAACATTTTCTCCCATTCCGTGGGCTGTCTTTTCTTTTACGTGATAATATCCTCCGAAGCACAAAAGTTCTTAATCTTGACAAAGTCCAAATTATCTATTTTTTCTTTTTCCTTAGGTGTAATAACTGAGACTAGTGATGTTGAACAATTTTGATGTGCTCATTGATTCATTTTTGTATCTTCTTTTGTGAAGTGTCTATTCAAATCTTCTGCCACTTTTCTTATTGAGTTGTTTATCTTCCCTTTTTTTTTTTTAAAGATTTTATTTATTTATTTGACAGAGACACAGCAAGAGAGGGAACACAAGCCGGGGAAAAGGGAGAGGGAGAAGCAGGCTTCCCGCGGAGCAGGGAGCCCATGCGGGGCTTGATCCCAGGACCCTGGGATCATGACCTGAGCTGAAGGCAGACGCTTAACGACTGAGCCACCCAGGAGCCCATGAGTTGTTTGTCTTCTTATGTGCTGTGATATATGTCCCCATTCTCTGGCTTATCTATTTGTTTTCTTAATATTTTTTTGATACCAGAAAATTTTAACTTTCATGCAGTCTAATTTATCCATTTTTTCCCCTATGATTATTGCTTTCTGTGTTCTGTCCAAAAAATCTTTTTTACCAGAGGGTCACAGAGATAGTGCCTTGTGGCCTTATATACAAACTTTATGGTTGTGAGTTTTGCATTTAGCACTATGATCAAATTAATTTTTGTGTAAAGTGAGTTGAGGTTGAGGTTCATTTATTCTGTACGGATATACAGTTGTTGCAGCAATATTTGTTAAAGAGACTTTCCCTCCCATGTTGTATTGACCTGGGAACTTGGTTAAAAAAATAAATAAATAAACAGTTAACCATATATGTATATTTCTGAAATTTCTAGTTCATTTCATCGACCTACTTGTCTCTACCACACTCTCTTTACTACTGTAGCTTTATGGTCAGTCCTGAAATAAAATAGTTTCATTCCTCCAGCTTTGTTCCTTTTCAAGATTGTTTTTGCCGTTCTAGGCAGTTTGCATTTCCACTTGGGTTTTAGAATCAGCTAACCTATTTCTTTTTTTAAGATTTTATTTATTTATTTGATGGAGAGAGAGACAGCGAGAGAGGGAACACAAGCAGGGGGAGTGGTAGAGAGAGAAGTAGGCTTCCCGCCGAGCAGGGAGTCCGATGCAGGGCTCGACCCCAGGACCCTGGGATCATGACCTGAGTGGAAGGCAGATGCTTAATGGCTGAGCCACCCAGGCGCCCCCTATTTCTTTAAAACAAAACAAAACAAAACAAAACCCTGTTGGATTTTTATAGGGATTAATCTACAGAACAATATGGAGTCTTCCCATCCATGGACATAGTATATATCTTTTCTTATTCCCTCTACTTCTTTAAGAAGTTTTAAATTTCTATCAAAAATGCTTTGTTGTTTTCAGTGCAGATATCCCGCAAATAGTTTTTTAGATTTATTCCTTTCTATATGATATTTGTGATGCTATTTCAAAAAATATATTTAGAATATATTGCTTTCCAATTATTCTTTAATAGTATACAGAAGGAAACTCTTTTTGATCTTGACTTTGTATCCTTGACGTTTCTAAATTCACTTGCCAATATTGGCAATTTGGGGTAGAATTCATAGAGTTTTTCATATGCACAATTATGTCTTCTGCAAATAATAAGTTTTCCTTTTCCTATCTTTATGCATTTCATTCCTTTTTCTTGCTATTATACTAGCTAGGATTTTCTTTTTTAAAGATTTATTTATTTATTTTGAGAGAGTGAGAATGAGAGAGAGAGAGAGAGAGTACATGAGAGGGGGGAGGGTCAGAGGGAGAAGCTGACTCCCTGCTCAGCAGGGAGCCCGATGCGGGACTCGATCCCGGGACTCCAGCACCATGACCTGAGCCGAAGGCTGTTGCCTAACCAACTGAGCCACCCAGGC